ATTAAATCAGGACATGTTATGATTATCTTACCTCAATGACAATCATTAAAAATACAGTTATTTTGTTATTAATACCTTATGAATAGTACTGTCATCATAGAGAATGGACTTTTGTTTCTTTTCTGCTGCCAACACTACTCCATTTGAAGCTATGGGTTAATGACCACAGAAGAATATTAACACTTTTTTCACAATTTACAATAAGAAGATTTTCAACTTTTATTTGTTTCTTGTATATTCACWTTTTAGAATTGTAATATGATGTAGRAGTTTTAAATGTATTACAGAAATTGCAGTAGAGTATTCAAGCTTTGAGGCTTACTATCCTGATTATAGTTCTGACAAGATAAAGACATTACATATCCTGATTATAGTTCTGACAAGATAAAGACATTACATATCCTGATTATAGTTCTGACAAGATAAAGACATTACACACAGCTCAGATCTCTAATACACTCCCCAATGTACCTTTAATTCCAACGGAAGGTCCACCAGCGGCGACAGCAGCCAAGGCATATTCAATCTGTACCAGTTTACCCGAAGGGCTATAGTAATAGAAACATTTGATAAAACACACTCTACTTTTTAAATTTCATATGGTAAAATTTCACAAAAAATGTGGTCATAAAAAGACATTTTACCATGGACTATTATTATTACATGCWATTCATAAGAGMATTCTAATTTCATCCGATAAATCAAGTCTTATGAAAAACTATTGGAAAAGGGATCGAAAAAAATTGAAAGCATGGTTTATAGGCTCACACACGACAAAGCCGGCATGATCAAGCATTAAAATTGTCTCGTAATATACGTCTTTAAGAAATATTCAAAGTTCCATACTTTAAAGAACAGCTACTCTGTCATTAAATATTTAAACAATCATGTTTCAAACAATGGAAATGAAGATAGAGGTAGAAAACTGACCTAAAAGTTGTCAAACTGAAGCTGTATCTTTCCGACATCTTGGATTTATTTACCCATAAGACTTTGCAAAGAAGTGAGTCAGCATCGGATCCAATCTCCACTCCAAATTTRCAAGGAACGCCTGACTGAACTAATCTTCAGGTGGTCGCCATTTTGAATGTGATTGAACCACAAGAGTCTAAATAGCCAAACAAAARCACTGTTGATGTCCACGAAACATGGAATTGGTAAATTTAAGCTTATAAAAAAGTAAGCTAGGACTGTAATTAAGCAGATTATACCGCAAAAAATGTCCCAAAGAAGTCAAAGTAGGAAGAATTTTGATAATCGTTGGCATAACAACGATGGAAGTGGACGGAGACAGTATTCACTGTTTTCACCATCATATTCATCACGTGTTGGTGACCAAGAGACTCATCAGTCACATCACAGCCGTTATAAAAATCATCATGACATGAACAGTCATCTTCATAATGCAAGGTCACATKATCAGACCCAAGCACAACATGGCTACCAACAAACAAACAGAAATTCACATATGCATTATTTCAGGACTCAAAGTAATCTTTGGCAAGACAGGAAAAGGTCTCTTGATATCAGAAACAGTGGATTTAATGAACAACATCATGATAGCAAAAAGGTTTGCACTGAAGTATCAAATGCTCYTCAATCATCACAAATGAATAAAGAATTCTCACACAACCAGAAAGGCCATTCCAATGAACCAGCACCTTGTCACTTTAACACCTTAACAACTTTAGGCCAGCAGTCTGAAGAGCATTTGTTAGTTGGTGCTGGCAATAAACGACGATTCCATTCTTTGCATGGACATGACGATTCTGAAACAAGAACTATTCAATCTAAGAAATGTAAAGCTGATTATCAGCAAGCCTCAACTTCAAATCAAAGTGAACCATCTATGCCTTCAAGAACTAACTCAGGTTTTCAAAATACTAGAGTCAAACAAACAACTTTTGTAGAAGCACTTCCTTATCCAGCAGAAGGAGTAGAAGCAGTCTATACAAAGAATGCTGTAGATGCAGAAGCATGGCTGAAGTCTAATATCATTGATCCWGCTGTTACAGAAATAGGTTTAGACATTGAATGGMGACCTCAGTTTATTCCAAAGAAAAAAGGTGGAAAAGAAAACAAAACTGCTGTGTTACAACTATCAGTTGAAAACACCTGTCTTGTTCTTCATATTTTTTACATGAAGCAATATCCAAAGTTACTTTCAGATGTTTTATCAAATAGAAAAGTTCTCAAGGTTGGAAGTGGAATAAATGGAGATGTAATGAAGCTCTTGAACGACACAGGTTTGTTATGTGACGGAAGGGTAGATACCCAAGATTATGCAAAAGCTCTTGGAATACAAGAAGGAGTTGGTCTGAAAAACCTTTCTAAGCAAGTGCTTGGCATTGAAATGAATAAACCAAAGTCTGTATCTATGAGTAACTGGGAATTTTTTCCTTTGAGAAAAACCCAAATCCACTATGCWGCTTTGGATTCATGGGTGAGTTTAAAGCTATATTTGAAACTGAAAGAACAGTTGGARCTTGAAMATAAARGGAAATTGAGRCAAAMAAYTGTTGAAGTTCATTATGGAGARCCATCTAGTAAAGGAAAAAAGAAGACATTCATRAAACTAAGACAGGTTGTTAAAGGTTTACTAGTAGTAAAAAGTAGTGAAAGCTCTGCCTCCAGTCAAGAAAATCCACAGACAAAAGAGAAGCCAGCTTGTGGATCATCTTCTCAGGATGATAAAATTTTCAAATGTCCTATAATTGAGTGTTGTGGAAGGTACGAGAATGAACAAGAGCTACAAGACCATATCAAGAACAGACATGTTGCTTGTAAAGTTTGTGGAAAACTTTACCGAACAAAAGTGTCAGTAAAACACARGAAGCAACATACAAAAGAGTAAAATGTGAAATGATAAAATACCCTTATCTGGTCGTATTTAATTATCTTAATGAGAAAAGTTTTCCAAAAAATTTCAATTAAATTTACTGTAATATATGTTTGGTGGTTTTTAATTATAAACCTTTTAACTTATTTAAGATTGTTATTCTTTAATATATGTGCAGAAGCATAATTATTTTAAATGGGAAAATAAAGCTAAAAAATACTATTTCTTGTAGACCTGATTTGCGTCTTTTTTTCCCGAAATTTACTCTTTTATTTACTCTTTTCCTTACCGCAATAAACTATGCCACAGGAACCCCATAACTACCATAGACCGCAGTGCATGATGGCCAAAATTCTCTCAGACACGTGAACGAGTCCTCTTTCTCGAAGCCATCTTGAAAACCACCATTGAGGTTTGGTAGTGAATAAAAGTTCACTTAAAAACAGCCAACATGGGTCGTATGCATGCACCCGGGTACGTCATTTAAGTAACTAGAGTATTTTCATGTTCTCTGATGTGTTTTTAATAAAAGTATTTCAACGTAGCTCATAAAATCATGTTTCAAAGATGAGCATCTGAGAGTCAGTCGAAAACCATGTGAGTGCGGACAAATTCTTTTGTAACAAGATTTCCTTGGATTTTTATTGTAGAAAGGGTATCTCTGGATCGGCTTTGCCATACCGTCGCAGTGTTCCTACGGTAAGCAGTTTGCTTGTTCTAAAAGTTCTAAAGAATTCGGTAGAATTAAGACATGATGCATGCTAAATACGATCATGAAGCCGGCAAACACAGTCAGTTGATTGTAAACTTTCCGATTCTGGAATCACAAGGTCGTTATTTTTCTAATCAGGAATGAAGATTGTTTAATGTTTGTAAACTTAACGTTTCAGTGGATGAAATTGACTTCAGATGATGTAAAGGAACAGATGTACAAGCTGGCCAAGAAGGGCCTTACTCCTTCTCAGATTGGTAAATACTAGTGTTTGAATGCCTCCTTGATCCTAACCAGAGAGACATGACTTAGTGGAATTTATTTGAAATGCGACCATAGTTATAACTGTGCCAGTTATTGATTGGTACAGTTATACAGAGTCTTGTTAGATACTTATATACAATGGAAGTCATGGATTGAAATTCCAGGCCATTTCTACTGCAACATAGTCTTCATCATGCAATGGTATAGACTGGATACAAACTCAGTTTGTTACATAAAACTCAAGCCATCATGGACTAATTATCATATTAAAATTTCTTTGTTTCTGCAAATAACCCATTTATTCTAGATATAGGGTGTTTGTTCAGTTGATTGTAATGATTCATGACTGGAGTGTTGTTGTTAAGAAGTAATGTCAATCATCTCTTATAGGTGTCATCCTCCGTGATTCACATGGTGTCGCTCAAGTCCGATACATCACTGGAAATAAAATCCTTAGGATTTTGAAAGCCAAAGGTTAGTTCTTATTTCCCATTGAAAGCATTAAATGGTGTTGTTCATAATCTGTGGTGTAGGTTGAATTCCTCTGGCTTTTGTGCCATGTTTTTGCTTATCTTCACCTTTAATATCATTAAAAGATTGGTCAATTCTTAARAGGTTTCTCTTGCTTTTAGGTCTTGCTCCTAGCCTCCCAGAGGATCTCTATTATTTGATCAAAAAGGCTGTTTCTGTTAGAAAACATCTTGAAAGGAACCGYAAGGTTTGTAGCTCAATGTATACTTGATGGTTTTTTCACTGTTGTGAATGTTTTCTTGGGATAAAYCCTGTTCTCCCTGCTAAGATTCAATCTTGTTTACCAGATGGTTGATGTACTTTGATTTGTCTTGGTTGTGGTTGTTAACTAGTATTTATTATTGTTCTTTTTTAGGATAAAGACTCCAAATTCAGACTCATTTTGATTGAAAGTAGAATTCACCGTCTTGCCCGATACTACAAAACCAAAAGAGTCCTCCCTCCCAACTGGAAGTAGTAAGTACAGTTGTCATATCACAATACTTTTAGAACTTATTGAATTGCACTGTCAGTTTATAAACTTGAAAAAGTCAGTTCTCATAAAAGTAGTACTTCAAGAATTTACAGTAGTTTTTGTAGTTTTTATATAAAAACTGCATCTCTCTGAGTGCTATTTATTGTATTGTCACCCTTATTTAAAGACCTTATATTGAAGCAAAACATGCTAACATSYYT